TAATATACTTTCATGTTTATTATGTTTATCCTTCTCATCTTGTAAGCATATATGCCTTTTTACCCTTTAGTTATATTTTAGGTTTAAATATTTTTTTATTTTATTTATTATTTCTATCAAATATTTTTATGCCATTTTATTTCTAAAATATAAATTTATAAAGATTATACAATATTTTCCATCTTTTTTATAACTACAACATATTATTATTATTATTTCGTATTTTTCGTTTATAAAATAAAGATCCAATATATTTTTATATATATTTTCGTTTGTTTTGTAGCATTCAATGTCTATAAAATATGATGTGTTTTTTTTTAAAAAATAACTAAATAAATGGAGGATAATTTATATAACATTTTAAATAGATGATGATAGATCAGGTAAAATTAAATAAAAAAAACTATTAACCAAGGTTAACCATTAGAGATGTTTTTAATTACATATTAAAATTAACCGAACGTTGTACCGGTTACAATAATTATAAGAGATATCATATGTTAATCTATAGAGATACTCTCATCTTCCTGCTCATAAAAATAATGACATATAATTTTTTAATTCTTTCTTTTATATGACCAAAATAAGAGGATATTTAATTTCTCTTTTTCATATTGTTACTTATAGATATAAACATAAGACAACTTGACTATTGGTTTTTGTGTTTTTTTTTTATTTGCCACGAGTATCGAGTATCTTGGAGGCGAAAGGTTCGAATTTTTTTCCACTTCATATATTTTTTTTTAGGCGGGCAGGTTACAACTTACAAGCTCGGGTTTTGCAGTTTTGCTTTCCCAACCCTACTCTAGATTCTTACCCACCTAGACCAAGTTCGACCAAACCTTTTTCCTATTACATTTTTTCACTTAGATTTTAACTTTTGTTATAAATTTAAACCAAACATTTTTAAAAAGTTGCCCCAATATTTTTTACAGCTTTGATTCTATATATTGTCACAAAATTAGTTTTTGTTTATATGTATCGTTTTTTTTTAATAACTTTTTTCCTATGTTAAAAATACCATGTTTTATAAAGTTACTTCTTCATATAAATCCACTTTTACATTAATTTTTATATCAGTAACTTTACGACAAAGTTTACTAATGTCTATAATTATTTTATGGTGTTTTTTTTATCTATTAGATGTCTACTTCAAAGTTATCAGCGCTTCATTTAATCATTAAGAAAAGTTCTGGGTTTGATCTTTTCTCTTCCGCTTATTTTTGTAAGGGTGACAAAACTCGGGTTGGGTTAGCTCCATCATACCCCATATCCTAAACCAATTTTTTTTTTAAAAAAAAATTTGTCAAAAATTTTAATTTTGCTTTTATGCTTGTTTTCAGAGATTTTACCATTTTTAGAAAATAATTCTTTTTTTACAAAATCGTTTTTCCATTTTTTTTCGGATTGATTTTCATGTGTTGGATAGTAAAAACATGTTTGAATTATTTATTTACACATTTATTGTCAAACTATAAATGCATTTTCTATTTATAATTAAATATAATTTTACTGTAATTATGTCTTATTTACCGTATATCCATAAATTTTTCGCAGCATAAACGTTGTGCATCCTCTAGTTAGTACCAAGATAGATCGGTTATATGATATATACAAGTCATACATGACATAAAATGCTAAATGATAAAAACTTTTAAAACTATAACAAAATAATTTCATATTTTTTACATTATATGCTAAAAACTATGTGTTATATTTGTTAGTAAAGGTGGAAATATTGTAATAAAGAATCCATACGGAACTACCTTGAGAATAGTGGGGACTGGGGTGCAGACGGAAGCCAGAAAGAAGGTTGGACGGGGCCAGGGTGAGGGAGGGGTTGCACCATGAGAATATGCCTTGGTTGAGATTGTTTTCTAGCATATCTTTCTTATTATAAAAAGTTTGTTTTATTTTTTATATATATTTTATTGTCACCAACTCTTTTTTGTTTTTTAAATCATGGTTTGGTTATATAAGACCATTGTCGTCAAGGAAAGTTATAATATCATATTATTATTATGCAAAAAATGTGGGTGAAAATAAAAATTATTAGGTTTAGTCGATTTATTATTAAATAGCTTGATTGTTATTTATATTCCTTTGCACACCAATGCCCATAACTTGGTGTAGTCATCATAAAAATATAGGAATCATCATTTTATAAACATTTATCCACCTCATAACTAACATTTGTTATTTGAAAAAGTCTGAACCCCAGTAACAATTCAAAACCATAAGAACCCTAATTTTTAGCATCATCAGCCTTTGATATGTTTTGTGTAATTCATTCAATATTATCATCTTTGAGCTCAAATATAGATATAATGCAAGTTACTTCATCTTACACTGTCATTTTGGTGTCCATAAAGATACAAAACTATAACCCAAACATACACATCATTATCCAAACATATAAAACTATAACCCAAACATACACATCATTATCCAAAAGTACATAATTGCATAGATTATCAAAAAATTTACCTTTGGGGATGCTATCCTTTAATATAATATTTAGATTATCTTCAATTTGAGCATTAAAACTCCCTTCTCCTTCTAGATTTTGGTTCAAAGACTCTCTCCAAGAGTTTATAACTCAACTAGTGAAATAGATAAGTTACACTCTTAAAACAAGGTCATGTTCAAGGAATTTTCTCCTATCAACTATTGGTTGTAATGCAAGCCCCAAACTGTAGCCCTATTATGTCGGGGCTGAAGGGTATTCTCTATTGACTTTGGGGCTAATGCATGACCACCTGAGGGCTCGATGCACACCCCTTGACCACTACAATTTTCATGTCTCTCATTATGGTGGTTGCAGATCCAAAACTTCTTGATCTTTAAGGAAAACTCACCTAAACCATCTTAGAGACTTCATAAAGCTCTTCATATCCTTAAACCATAAAAACATAACCGAAAATTATTTGTTTCACTTTTGAAATTGAGTAAAGCATTATACTTGATTTTTTGTCATTTTCCTTCCAAATCTCTAGCATATATAGAACCTTGTCATATGTAAACATAGTCGACACATAAAAGCTTCCTCAAACATATATTAGATTTAAGACTTAACAGATAACACTATTGACACATTTCCCTTAAATATACAAAACAAGGCTTATTTTGTCGACTTAAGCATTAGACTCTCATTGATATCCACTTTCACAACATACTTCATTGTTTAGACATTTAAGTTTTTAAGAAGTGATTTGTAACTCTTATAAATTAAACAGTAGTTTGATATCTTCTTCTTATCAATATTACCATATCAACCTTATATTTCCTATTGAGGTAATATACTTTCACCAACATTATATACACATGTTACCACATATCATCACTTATATATATATCAGTTGTAACTCTTACAAAAATTAGGTGTTATACATGAATATATATCTCATGTATCACTTATATCTCAATTTCCCTTGTTGATTTCTACTTGATCTTCTAAACCCATTTATAACCAATAGGCTTTATGCCCACTATATAAATTAGTTGCAACCTAAGTCTCATTCATGTTTAAAGCCATTTAATCATTCACTACAACTATAATTATTATCTTTAATTGCATCATAAAAACTAGACAAAATCACATAAATGGTCATTATGGTATATAAAATGTCACGGCTTCGGTCCCTGCAGTTTGTTTTACAAACATGGTCATTATTTTTGGGATATGATGAACATAAGAGCACAAAACAACAAATTCATTAAAGTTATGACTTGATCTTCATGATCCGCTATGGATCTTGTTCTAGCAACTTTTTAACAACATAACTAACTAAAAAGACATAGAAGGAATCATACCTTCTTGTTAGGGCAGAAGGAACACATAAACTTTGAATACATGGACGGTATCTCTCACTCATCATGTCACAAACCAGACATTCCTTGTTTGACTGTTAATTATGGACAACATTAAGAGCACCAAAGCACAACAAACTACATGACTAAGAATCTCATTCATCTCCGTTTGAAGAATATATATGATATCACTATCTTAGAATTACTTGTAATAGTTTCGATGAAGTAATATTTAAGTACGGGTTATTCCAATACTTAATCTCCATTAAATACACATGAGTATTAGTCACATCTCCATACTATGTTCATCTCCATGAAGAATCTACTAATATTTCGTGACAGTCTTAAATCACTACTCAGTTCTAGAAGTACGACCAAATGTGGTATATGGAGGCTTTAAATAAATTAATATTCTATAATTTGGTCAAACATGCAAATGGAATGCAATAGTAAACTAATGAAATGACTTTTCTCCGACACACATTATGATATCCACTTAATAATTACCAAATCACATAAAGATTTACAATTTATAAGTTCCCAAATAAGATTAAACTAAACTAAACACATTCAAGCCAAATAATTTGTAAATCTAATGTCTTTTGACCTAGTATGACAATCATACTTGTGACAGAATTATATTTCGATATAACTCTACCGACTATAATGTTTTCACTTTCTACTAATTGTCGTATGCAATTATACTTGCTGAGTGTATGCCTTGTAGAGTAACGACGTCTCACACACCTATTTTCATAATTAATGTATATATTTGTTGATGGTTAACAAATGTAATGATTCACCCCTGACAAAAATAAATTAAATCTTCCTCTTAAATTTGTTAAAATTGTAAAAATTTATTATTATAAATAAAGTTACAATATGTAATATAAAATTAATTCAAAATACATTAATAATAAAATTTGTTAAAATTGTAAAAAATTATTGTTATAAATAAAGTTACAATATTTAATATAAAATTATATATTATTATTATTATTATTATCATTTGAGTTAAATTAAATATTGATGGGAGAGTGTAAACTAAAAAAGCACGATCAAAAATGACATGCCAAGTAACACGATGGAGAAAGGGCGAGGGAGGGAGCGTTGCGGTTGCTGAGAGGGCGGTGTTGGTGGGAGATAATAAGTCCCCTTCGCTTGTAACATTCCATCTCTCTCCACCTCCATTTTTTTTTTCACATATTTCTCCATTAATTCTCTCTGCACATTTCCACTTATACATACATATATATTTATATCTATCTACCAACACATCACCCACAGACATACCTTAAATTATACATATATCATTCATCAGAATTATTTTAGTTTTGATTCCATTTTTGGTTCTTATCTTCTTCATCAACCACCTTTTCTCTGTTCATCAATCGGCGTATACCTTCATCTTTTCCTCTATATAAACACACACACTCCACCTACTAGGAGTCAAACACACATCTTATAGTTCTTCCCCTTTCTCTGTTCTTCCTCTTGTTCATAAATCACACTCACAGAAACGATTCGGTTGATTTTGCTTCGAGCTTATCGAGGTAAGTTATAAATTCTCCCGCTCATTTTCGATTATTCCAAGATTGTCAATTTCGAATGAGAATTTATGAGATGTTTTCTCTTCGACGTTCTTCATTGATGAATGTTTGTTTATTAGTTTTTTTGATATTTTTGATATTATAATCGTGATTCAATTACACAAAAAATAGAACTAATTTAGGTTATAATCATGATTCAAAATGAACTGTATGTCTACATCTTTTCTATTCAGAATAATTAGATTATTATGGATATAATATCGTTTTTGTAATAATGTTTAATGTTAACTGCATAATATAATGATATAAAATCAGCATACTTTTGTTTATTTTTCATTTCGGCAATACAATTTTCTATTCTTTTTATTTTTTCTTTTCAATTTAAGACTTTTATATTATCGAAAACATATTGCTACTTTAGGTTAAAAATAACAAAAAATATTTTGTTTAAAAGGAATACACGTAAGTGTATGCTAACATTTTGCGTAAAATTTGTGTACATATAACAGATTTTTTTTGACAATTTCTAATTGGTTTTTCTTTTTAGTTTCTTAGCTTAGCTAGTTCTTTTAATAATATGTGGCTGTTAAATAAAAATATATAGCAGATTTTTTAAATTAAGTATTTGATAAAAAAAAACTTATTTATATATTAAAGAAAATAGAGATTATCGGTTTTATATGCTATCAACTCCAAGTGACCCAAATTTTACGACAATATATCCTTAATTCCTTATCTCATTATGCATTGAATTTTACGTTTTGTGATTCTTAAGTTTTGTATTCTTTTATTGTGATTCAATATTTTAAATTTTTGGGTGAAGAGAATATTAAACCTTGGAGTAAAAAGAACTGAAGTCGACATTAATTTCCATTTAGAATTTTATGAAACATTCATTAAATGTTACTCTAATTATTCCCTTTTTTAATATTCTTTATCTTTCATACCATGATTATTTCACACTCAAAAGTGGAGCACACGTTTTAGTAGAAAATTTTGTGTTTCATGAACATCCTTTTCAGTTTAAAATAATTATTATATTTCTACAATTTTTGTAGCTCCAATGCAAAATTTTTAGAAATTGTTAAAATAATTATTTTATTTTATAAAAGTATTTTTTTTTTTTTTCTATTTTTGATTGCTTCCATGGATATGGCTATCTGCTGTCATATTCCTATGCACACCAGGTGTTCGATCATTTGCCTCTGTGAGAATACCACCGTGTAATTCAAATCAAAGCTGTTCAAAATGCCTGAAATTGTCGCCGACGTTTCAACCTCAAATCCGGCCGGCGATAACATACAAACCGGAGGATATGTCCCACACAAAGAGCTTTTCGGATACTCATCGCCGAGAAGCCCATTGACGACACTCAGCCCGGAGAGCGACTCAATGGGTTTATCCGTTGACAGTCCCGGCGGCGTCGACACCTCCATTGAACAGCTTTATAACAACGTCTGTGAAATGCAAAGCTCCGACCAGTCACCTTCCAGGTTCAGTTACTTATCATATGGTCAAGAATCGCGAATAGATTCAGAGCTCCGCTTTCTCGCCGGAGGAGACTTTATGAAACCAGACGGCGGTCCTACAAAAGAGACGATCGTCGCAATCGATGAAAAAGAAGTGAAAGAAACATCAAACGACAGCAACCCGACTGTAATCATCCCAAAATCTGAAGAGTCTTCAACTCCAAAAACCCGAATTCCTTCTCGTAAGAGGATTCCATCGAGGATGAATCTCAAAAAACAAGAAAAAATTTCACCCAACGAAGATCCAGCGTACCTGGGGACTTATTTACTCAAACAAGCGCGAGACTTATTGTCATCAGGTGATAACCCGAAAAGGGCTTTTGAATTGGCTCAACGAGCATTGAAATCATTCGAAAGCATCCAATCAGAGACACCAAATTTGGAAGTCGTCATGTGTTTGCACATCGTAGCAGCTTTGAATTGCAGTTCCGGACGTTACACCGACGCCATTCCTTTGTTAGAACGTTCAATCGAAATCCCAAACATGGACCAAGGTCAAAAACACTCTCTCGCTAAATTTGCAGGGTGTATGCAGTTAGGCGACACGTATTCAATGATCGGAAACATCGAGAATTCAATACTTTGTTACACCGCCGGTTTAGAAATCCAACGACAAGTTTTAGGTGAATCCGATTCCCGATTTGGTGAAACTTGTAGATACGTAGCGGAAGCTCATGTACAAGGTATGCAGTTCGATGAAGCTAAACGGTTATGTCAAATGGCTCTTGATATACACAAAAACGGTTCACCGGAAGAAGCAGCCGACCGGCGGCTCATGGGGCTGATATGTGAAGCGATGGGAGATTACGAAACCGCCCTCGAACATTACGTTTTGGCAAGCGTCGCCATGGCCGGAGATGGACACGAAACGGAAGTTGCTGCTATCGATGTTTGCATCGGGGACGCTTATTTATCATTGTCTCGTTACGATGAAGCAATTTTTTCGTATCAGAAATCGCTTAATCTTTTCAAATCAACAAAAGGCGACAATCATCCATCAGTTGCTTCGGTTTTCGTCCGATTGGCCGATGTTTACAACAAAATCGGGAAACTACGTGAATCGAAATCGTACTGTGAAAACGCGTTACGGATTTACGTGAAACCAGTCGCCGGAATCCCTAGAGAAGAAATCGCGAGTGGTTTGATTGAAGTTTCAGGGATTTATGAGTCGATGAATGAACTCGATCACGCGATTAATCTACTGAAGAAGGCGTTGAAGGTGTACGGGAAGGCGGTGGGTCAGTTGAGCACGGTGGCCGGAATTGAAGCTCAGATTGGGGTTTTGTATTATATGATGGGGAAGTATTTGGAGTCGCATGGGTGTTTGAAGGCGGCGATTGAGAAGCTGAGGGCGGTGGGGGAGAAGAAATCGGCGCTTTTTGGGGTTGCTTTGAATCAAATGGGGCTCGCTTGTGTTCAGATTCACTCGATAAATGAAGCGGCTGATCTTTTTGAAGAAGCGAGAGGGATATTGGAGACAGAGTATGGACCTCACCATCCTGACACACTTGGGGTTTATAGTAATCTTGCCGGCACTTATGATGCCATGGGCAGGTATAGTATCTAATTTGAATCTATTCCATCTTTATAACTTTTTATGTTAGGATTTGATTTGATTGATTTGAACTAAGCTTTGTATTTTCAATGGTAATAATAAGGAGAGGGTATGTATGTCTTTTCCATAGACCAGATACCGAGATTTGACCGGTGTCTGACCGTGTTCCAATTTGTCAGCGGAACAAAAGATTGTAACTTTTGTATCTTTGATATCGGTTAGAATGCTAATGCATGTCAAATGCAGTATAATATGTTTGGTCATCTATGAAAAACAAGGCCTTAAGGCCTTGCTTGTTACGTAGAATACGACATTACAAATTATACTACGTTCGACATGCATTAACATTAACATTCTGACCTATATAAATGATACAAAAGTAACAATCTTTTGTTCTACTGAAAAAGTGGAACAAAATATGACATGGATCAATTCTCGATCTCTGGTCTGTGCAAATGATATAATTGCTCTCCTCACACTTATTATCGAAATTAGTCTAAAGTTTGTCCATTCTTGTCATATCTTGTTCCGTGTGATGTACACAGTCCGAATAATTCAAATATAATTAAAGTTAACCATTTGATGTGTGTAGATGGGACGATGCGATTGAGATACTTGAATATGTGGTTGGGATGAGAGAGGAGAAGCTTGGAACTGCAAATCCAGACGTAGACGATGAGAAGCGGAGACTGGCAGAGCTTCTTGGCGATGCGGGCCGGAATCGTAATAAGAAATCATTGTCACTTGAATTCCTTCTTGACGCCTAATTTGGACTTTTTAAATATGGTTTGATAGAAACATAGGAACATTAAAGTTGGGGTTCCATTTTCTATTGTTGTATGATTTTACTTCAAATTTTGTGTAAAATAAATAAATGGGAATTTGTGCTTTGTTAATTGTGATAGTAATATTTTGTTTATTCCCGAAATAGTTAGCTATTTTTTTAATTCCAACTTCCATAACATAGCATATAAGATTGATACCATTAACCGAAATATATGTTGTTATTTAATTTATGATCGGGTTTACAAGGTTATAGTTTTGTTATAAAAATGGACTTCTACATAACCACCTCATAAGCTTCATCCCACCCTCTTAGAAGAGCTTCCAATGGAGTATAGTGGCAACATCTTTTACCTAGCAAAGGAAGAAAGGTGCAAAATATATATAGTAACCACTTGTATATTATATATATTATTTTAGGAAATAGTGATGACAATTGACAAATTCCTTTTATTATTCAAGATACAAAAGGGTAATGAAGGAAAAGATGTTTAACTCGTTCATACAGAGGTAGGAGGTGAAAGGCCAAAGTCGAGTCCCCATAGCTCAAAGGTCCCATTAACAAAATCGTAATGACCACCCTTTAGTGCTAGTGTTTTCTTCACCAATCCATCTCTTACAAATGGGTAAGTCAATAGATGTCCCAATGATACGTTCACAGCTTCCTGCATACCCAAGATTCGTTAAAGTGTTGTTTCTTTACAAAATTTTGGACTTAATAAGAAGACTTGGTGCTTGTTTACATTTGATGTGATAAGCTTAGTGAGTTAAACACTTAATATGGACAACTACACATGTTTGCTTCTTTTTAACTTAATATGAAGAAAATGACTTAATGTGTTGAACAAAAAAAACTTGCCTTGATGTATTAAAATACTACCATTTCCATATTTATCCTTCTTGATTCATATAATCCCCTTCGTGTCAATCTTAATAAATATTGTGATATTTGTTTTTTAAAATGTAATTTTAGTCACATTTATATGGATTATTTAGTCTCGTGTACCAAAAATAGAAAAGAAAAAACATTATGCATACAATATATTATCAAGTAATACATCATTACATATTCAACCGCATTTAAATAATAAGAAAAAAACATCAACTAAGTCACGAGTGTTAATATAGAAATAACAGATTAATAGCAAAATCTTTAGATTAAATCTTAGATTTTATTATTTTTTTTACAAAAAAATTATGAATTTTTAGTCTAACGATATTAGAATTGACGAAAAGATTTATCTAAACCAAAAGTTGAGGATTTTCTACTCGTGTTTGGGACAAAATGTGCAGCTTTATGAATAGAATAGTGAGTGTTTTTAAGCCGTTTTTCTAAAAAAAAAACATGACTCCAAATTCTTAATAAGTGTCTCGACATTTTCATATATAATTTTTTAAACATTAACCGACACTGATAAAAAAGATCCAGTTAGTTGTTTACCTTTTCACAGCTAACACATTGATCATCAAGAGTTGAACTCCCACTTTCTGCTACAACTTTCGCCTTGGCAGGAGAACATACTTTAACCCAGTCCTCGATGAAATCGCTGTGGTTGTTCGCAATTTAGACGATAGAATTATGTTTTTTTTTTTTTTTTATCAAAATTGAAAAAAAAAACATAAATTAAAGTAGTATTAGGGAGGAATTAACTTACGTGGTGTGAGGTCCCTCATCAGGGAAAGTCATGAGACCCTTGATTCCTCCACAACGGCTATGCCCAATTACGATTATTTGCTCTACCTAAAACCATTAGAACTGATTACAAATATTATCCGAGTAGAGGTGGCATTTGAGTCATTTTTCAAAAATTTTGGTGAATTTGGGATTTTTTATTTGTAATGGGTCAAACTAATAAAAAATAGGGAAAATGACCAAAAAAACACTATATTTTTCCAAAAGTTCGGTTTAACCATAAATTTTTAAAAAGTTACGAAAAAACCACCAATTTTTGATAAAATGTTTCAGCGTGGCCACTGTTACCTATTAAAACCTATTTTAAGTACGAAAAAAACACTATATTTTATCAAAAGTTCGGTTTAACCACCCATAAATTGGTGGTTAAAGCGAACTTTTAGAAAAATATAGTGTTTTTTTCGTATTTAAAATAGGTTCTATTAGGTAAAAGTGGCCATGCTGAAACATTTTACTAAAAATTGGTGGTTTCTTCGGAACTTATTAAAAATTGATGGTTAAACCAGAAAATGTGACAAAATATAGTGGTTTTTTCGTCATTATCCCTAAAAAATAAATAGAAAGTTATCAAAATATATTTAAATTTTTATAACGTTTCAAATTGCTTTATTAAAAAAATAGATTATTACTTTAACAGTATAGTTTCTATAATAATAATATTAATATACTAATCCGTTTTCTCACCAAAGGCTGTATGGTTAGGGCTGTATGCAAATAAATCGATTTGTCTTATCAGATTGAACAATTTAATTGGATTATATGGTACTAATATTTAGATTTATAGATTGTATTAGACCAAAATCGAAATATTAATTTATGATTAGTTTTGGTTAATAAAATGAGAAAAACTCGAATAAAATATTTATATTTATATATTTAATATATATCTTTAATAATCAATTATTTTTACCATAGTTATTATGAAAATGTTGTAATGGAGAATTTGGATTTTATTAGATATAAAGTTAATTTAACTATGGACAAAACTTGTGTTTCGTTAAACATATTTCATATCTTAGATTAGGATAACACTTTTTTTCAAATCGGTTTTTTGCATGTATTCGTTTACTAATGACTCTAGAAATTTAATTTTATAATTCGGTTGGTTTGAATCAAATTTTAATTTATTTTAGGTTATTTAGATATGTATAGCGAAAACCGAGGATCCATCTAATCATATCAGATTGAATCATAGCAGATTGGATCGAATCAATCCATTTAAACGAACAACCATAAATATGGCATAACAATATAAGAATTGATGAAAATATATTCCTCAACCAAATCGTCCCTTTGGAACATGTTGTAGATATAAAAGTAGATTGAAGGTAGGTAATTTTAGTCTATCAAAAAAAAAAAATCAAATCCATTTTGTCACATCCATAAAAGCTATTATTGGAATAATGAGATAAAGTTTCTAATAGATCGATTTGCATGTTATTCAATCCATTTTGTCACACCTATAAAACCGAATATTAAAAGAAATGATACAAATTTTCTAGTAAATCAATTTAAATGTCGTAAATACCCGAATATGCATTAAATAACTCAACTCTTAACCCATTAACATGTTTGCCTTTTAATAAACATTTCTTTAAAAAAATTCTAATTCGATTCGTTATCAATAATGTGTAACCCGTTGATTTCAAAATGTACATTACCTTGAGATGCAAAACTGCATACTCAACAGCAGCTCCTACTCCAGCATATTTAGTCTGTTTTTGTAAGCAATAGATAAAACACATGTTAATAACTTGATATATAAATATTTGTTTTAACAACACAGTATCAGTATCAGTACCAATATCAGTACCAGTATTAATATTAGATTAACAGTAACAGTAACAGTAATATCTGTAAAATGACCTTGTCAAAAGGAGGGACCATGTTGGCAACGTTACGGACAACAAATGCCTCACCGGGTTGGAAATCAAGGACATGTGAGGGGCAAACACGCGAGTCTGAGCATGCGAAAACCATGAACTACACAACACATAATATACATTATCACTAATGATTTTGTTATGTATACGTATAAACATTTGTTTATAACTTCATTTTGTGGGTTTTGCTTTCATAATGGGCCAAATATCATTTGGTAATTGGTAGAAAATCATTGTTACCTTTGGGCTCTGGCCTTTGGAAAGTTCATCATACAATACAGGGTTTGTTCTACATTCACATCACACATACACATGCATCAAATAACGTTACATAGAGCAAAAGATGAAAAAAATTGTTTAGAGCTTGTTTGAATTTGAATTTACTCGTATTTCTCTCTCTTGAACTTGACGAATCCGGTTTTGATCCTCTCAACCGGGTCAAATGGAGCTTTGGCGTCGGGTGTTTGAAGTTCGGCTGTGATTTGATCGATTCTGGCTGCAGCAACTGGTTCTAATTCGCCTCTTTCACTGTTGAATTACCATAAACTCATCGTTTTATTATGAATGATATGATTAAATTAGTGTTATACGAATGTCATACTTGACTTACATTAGAAGTTTCTTCAGTGCAGCAATGGCGTCTTCATACGATTCGTTTCCCATGTCTTCCGTCTGCATTTAAACATTAACACCGTTTATTTCTCGATCTAAGTAAGCTTTCACTTTGCATTTTGTGCTTGTTGACGATTCAGATTTATTCTTCATTTACTTAGATTTGAATTTGTTAGGTTTCCTAAAACGGAAATTACTTTTCGACACGGATTCCTCCATTAATGGCGGACACTCTGATTTTGTGTGATAATGTCGCTAGTCTCAAAAGCTATATTCGCGATCAAGTGCGCATTTGTGTGTGTGAGAGAGTTACACATCTCAAGAACAGAAAACGTACCCATTTCGGTGTGATGATCGGAGCAGGAGCAGCAAAAACAGGCTCGTTACGGATGAGCCTGGGAGGAGTTGCAGATGAAGACGACGACGATGATGACGATGATGACGAATTGCAAGTAAATCTGGCGGAAAATGAAGGAGATTTGGATGAAGAAGATGATTTCTTCAGAGAAGAAGCATTGATGAAACAGGGAGCGTTAATGGCGAAAGCAGATGAGGTCGACATTGTTAACAATTACTCAACCAAACTACTTGATTTCAGATCTCGTTTGGGGATTTATACAAATTCTTCAGATAAACCGATCAGGTACGAGCGTTCCAAATCACTCACACGTTTTCGTATCCATGCATAATCATCCATTATTCTTCATTTCAGTTTTTATCCATTATTCTTCATTTCAGTTTTTCGTTTGCTTTGTATTTTACGCAAAAATTAAAATTGATTCAAGGAAAAAAGTACAGGGCCCATGATTTTACAGTTTGCCATAGACATGTATGGTGTTCTATGCATATATCACACACTAACACATCATCGCCATTGATGATGGACCCACTGTGGTCTCACCATGCTCTCCGGTGATTAATTACACAAAACACATCT